TATTAGGAATAAACTGGTTTAAAGCATTTGATGCAAGAATATATTTTGACCAAGATAAATTAAGAGTTAAAATCGATAGTCAAACAGTTGAAACCCCTATAAAATGCATCGAGGAAGCTAAACCATTCTTCAGAATTCTAGCTAATACTGCAGAAAGCGAGAAAGAAGAATATGTTGATGAAGCCCTATACGAGACAGATCTTTTTCAAATAGAAAATGATGATGACTATTCTTTAGATCCAAATGAGAGAAGTGATGAATTAGAATGTATCGAATGGCCTTATCAAGAAGAAGAATTATTGCCCTTTATAGTATGGATATTGAAGGAAAAACAGAAGAACAAGAAATAATTAAAGCACTTATACTGAAAGAAATTATTTCAACTGGAGGAGTTGACATTAGACAAACTCCATTTATTAATCATCAAATTCCTTTGAAACCAAATACAAGACCTATCACCCATCCTTCATACTGATTAAATCAAGAAAAAAAAGATTTCTTGGAAAAAGAAATTGACAAAATGTTAGAAAAAGGAATTATTCAAACTTCAGAAAGTCTATGGGCCTCTCTAATTGTAATTGTGCCTAAAAAGACAGGAGATCTTAGAATATGTGTTGACTATCATCTATTAAATTCCGTCACAGTTACAGATAGATACCCAATACTAAATATGCAAGATCAATTAGAAAACTTTAGGACTGTACGATACTTTACTACCCTAGACTTAGCAAGCAGTTATTGGCAAGTAAAAATGCATCCAGACGATCAAGCAAAAACAGCTTTTATTATACCTTCAGGATTATATGAATTCAAAATGATGCCTTTGGTTTAAAGAATGTATCTGCCACCTTTCAAAGATTAATGAATAGAGTTTTGCATCGATTAATTGGAAAATTCTGTGCAGTCTACCTAGACGATATTATTATTTATTCAACCACATTTCAAGATAATTGTAATCATGTACAACAAGTCTTCTCTAGATTGAAAGAAGCAGGATTAAAAATAAAATCAGAGAAATGCACATTTGCAATAAACGAAGTTAGTTATCTAGGTCATATCGTAAGAAGTAATGAAATCAAACCTGACCAAAAGAAAATCCAAACTATGGTTGATTTACCTACACCTAGAAATCCAAAAGAAGTACGAATGGCATTAGGACTCTTTTCTTATTATCAGCACTTTATTCAAGATTTTGCAAAGATCACAGGACTCCTTTATGAACTAACTAAAAAGAGTACTACTTGGAATTGGACAACTCAACATCAAGATTCTTTTGATGAATTAAAATTTAAAATGATTATTACTTCAGTTCTCATTCAACCTGATCTAAATAAAGCATTTATAATTTAAACGGATGCTTCAGATGAAGGACTAGGAGTTGTACTTGCTCAAAGAGATGATCAAAAACTTAAACATCCAATCGCTTATGCAAGCAGAAAATTATCTGACTTGGAATTAAAATATACAACTACTGAAAAAGAATAACTTACAGTTCGATAGGCTATTGAACACTTTGACCATTATCTTTGTTACTAACCTTTTGAAGTAATGACTGACTATTCTGCATTAAATTGGTTGTTAACTACTAAAAATGTAAAAGGACGAGTTGCCAGATGGTTCCTCTTCTTATAAGCTTACGATTTCACTATTAAGCATCGATCAGAAAATAAAAATCAAAATGCTGACGTATTTTCACGAATGATCCCAATTCACATGGCCTTAACAGAAGAATTAGAAAAAGAATCCACCACGAATTCTAGATGGATTCAAGTACATTTTTCAGCTCTAGACATGCCAGGATGTCAAATTAAATGGCAATAGAATGGACTAAGAAATAATAGTCAATATAGAAGGAATTCTTACTCTTGCAATGAAACTGATCACCATTCGCATTGGTATTGTATTTACTGCTACCAATGTGCGAACCCTCATAGAAATTATATACCTTCTCCTAGTGAATATACTTTATGTAAATGTGATAACTATTATCAAGAGTTCTCAGATTTCGTTAATGAAGAATATTGTCAAAGTCAAAATAATGAATTTTCAAATGAAGATTTATATTCTCAAAGAAGTGATAATGAGTCTGAATATTATTTAAGTCAAGAGGATCTTGAATCTATACTTGATAGAAAAGGAAAAGATTGGAGACAAGATATGCATAATATTTACCTTCAAGCCGCAGAATTTAAATAAACAACTGTTAAGCAAATGTAAAATCATTCATTAGTAAAAATAAAACAAGATTATTCTGTTAATTGTACACTTTGTAAAAAAATTATTACTATGGATCTAGAACACAATTGTATTGTTGGATATAAACTTAATCAAATCCATCCCGAAATGATGCCTGAAGCCTTAACAAATGAAATCTTTTGGGACATCTCTGAAGAAGTACTACATCATGATGAAGCATGTTGTGTCGCAGTTGAATTATTGCAACCACCTCTTAATCCTCAAACTTCTGATGAACTAACTGAAGATGAATTTAATGAATTGTTTAATTCTTATAGACCAACTATCACCCCAATTATTGCATTAAATTTTAATGAAACGCAAAGTCGTGCATCTACTCCTAAATTAGATTTTTAAATATTATTTTTTTTTTATTTTTTTTTTAGTTATTTCAATTTATATCGCATTATTCTAAAGAGGTAACACCTAGTTAAATAGCACTAGTGAGTGAAAGTCTCAAGTTTATTTAATTGAGTGAAAGTAAAAGTGTAAGCATTGTGACTTACAGCTCAATTATTTACTATACAATAGTATTTCGAACTTCAACAATATTTAAATCATAATAAGTTTCCTGATCACATTCAATCTAATAGAGACGAAAAAGTTCACGAATATAGCCAAGTATTTTACAATTCAAAATACAAATTTATATCGTTTTGATCGAAGGAGACCTGGATATTTATTACAAGTTCTCAAAAGATATGAGTTAGAACCTGTTCTATACATGATGCATAATGATTTTACAGCAGGACATTTTAGACAAGAAATCATGTTCAACAAAGTTAAAACTCGATATTATTGGCCTCAGATGTATGAAGACATTAAAAAATATGTGAAAATGTGTGATTCTTGTCAACGAAGAGGAGGACCAAGTAAGAATAATGAGTTACACCCTATAACTTCTTATAGTCCCTTCTATCAAATTGGAATTGATTTTATAGGTCCTTTACCAATAACTCTTTAAGGAAATAGATATATTATCGTAGCTGTAGATATGTTTACTAAATGGTCAGAAGCAAGAGCTGTTGCAGAAGTCACTGCTAGTCAAATTGCTTTATTCGTATATGAAAAAATTATTTGTAGACATAGATGCCCTATGAAAATTCTATTCAGATAGAGCAACACACTTCAACAATGCTATGATAAAAGAGTTAATGGAAAAATTTGGAATTAAACATCATAATTCAACGCCATATCATTCTCAGATAAATGGACAAGTTGAAAGATTTAATAAAACGTTAAAAGAATCTTTAGCAAAAATTATACAAGAGCAAACTGAATGGGATCTACATATAGTCCCTGTATTATTTGTTTACCGTACTGCTCAGCAATCTACTACTAAAATGACTCCATTTTTGTTATCATATGGATAAGAAGCGAAGTTACCCCTGGATGATCATGTTGATCAGGAAAATAAAAATTTGATAGATTGAATCCAACAAATTATAGAAAAACTTCCAGATATTAGAGAAAAAGCTAAACAGACAATGATCGCCATGAAAAATAAACAAAAGACAGCCCATAATAAACATCTAACTAAACCAATGTCATTTGGCATAGGACAAAAAGTCTTGTATTTTGATGCTACACAAATCAATCAGTTCTCAGGAAAACTAGAGCCAAAATGGAAAGAACCTTACAGGATTCATGAAAACTTGATTAATGGATCTTATCATTTAAGAGAAGAAGTTGGACACTTTCTTGCCAAACCAGTAAATGGTGATCTACTGAAAAGTTATTTTGATCGATAGTCATAGGAATCACAAATAGTAATCGACATATGAGAAAATATATAAAGGTTGCTATCCTCTATTAGTATCAGTTTTGCAAAAATAGATGAAATTTTACAAGACGTAATGCAATAGAACCATTACATATTCAAGAATATTACCATCCCTATAAAGCTATAGATGATCCTAGGACAAAAATGAGGATTATTTAAAGAAATTATCGACGAACAAAAGTGGCCAAAAATAGAATTAGAATGCTAATAAATATGTATTTCGTTAGAGAACTTTTAGATTTTTTAGAAGATATTGATTACAAACTGACAAAATTAGTTTTGAATCCATATCAAAGAGAGGTTGCTGTAAAGACTTTTATGATATTTCAAGAATTAGGAATATCGCAACTTTATCAAACTAAAGTCTTGATCACCTGGTAAATATAACGATTAACAAAAAGTAAAATACAGGATTTTATTTCGAGAGCGAAATCCTTTCTCACTACTACGTTCGAAATTCAAGTTGGAAGAGGATTGTTAACAGAAGAAATTGCAATTCCAAATATCATGTGGGATCTGTCAATCAATAATGACCTCACATTAGATGATGTCACTGCTATGCCAAACAGTGATCAGCAATAATTTCTGTTTCGCCTGACATGCTTGTTTCTACTGTATTTTCTAAACAGTCTGTTCAATCTGTTTACTTTATTTTATTTATAATTTCTTTAACGTTTATAATCTGTTTTATTTCTTTTTATTATTTTTATAATTTATATTGTTTTTATTATTTTATTATATTTACGTATATTTTTATTAAAATATATATCTATATTTAGTTAATTTATAGTGTAGCAAATAGTTAACCATAGCAAATTCATTTTGTATAAATAGAATAACTTTTTGCTTAAGTTGTAAATTAACTCCTTTGCAAGTTTATAAACTCTTTTGCGAGTTTCAAGTTATAAATAAAGGAATCTATTTAATATAGGTCAATTTGGGGATTCTAGAACAAAATTTTGAATAGGTATAAAAAATAGTGTGTAGCCTTCTGGCTTCTTTCCTGATATACAAAATTTTGAAACCTTTATTAAACCCAAATTATCCTACAAGACCAGGAAATATATCGAAATCCAATATTGAATTCATTATTAAAATCGAGCTAGGGCTTAAATTTAGTTAACATATCTTCTTACCAAAATTTTAGGTTTTCAAGATCAAGATGTACAACATCTTTGTTAACATGCTGTCCTCTTTTTAATCCCAAATATTATAACAAAAAAAGTATGTCATATTGCTTGCCTATCAGAAGAACCCTAATCACCAAGGACTGAAGTATTTGAGTGTATTCGGGGTTTGACCAGTCAAGCCTAATTTGTATACCATATTTTTATGTTATCCTAGAATTAATTCTAAAGATGATTCATTGCTGTAAACAAATTCCTGATAAGTCTCACCTCTTTGAGGTGAGATTTAACAGATTCGGATACCAAATTCTTGATTAAAAGATTAACGAACATATTCTAATATATCATTAATTTTTCACTATGCTAAAACCCATTCTGGAGACATTTCATTTACATAAATAATAAGACAAAAAGTTTCACCTCTGGGCGAACATAATTAAGTCTCACCTTATAAGTCTAACCTCTAGGGTAAACATAATATTCACGAAGTCTGTGAAGTGAAGCAGAACATGTACATAAGTTATATTCACCTCTAAGTCTCACCTTTAAGTCTAACCTCTAGACAAAAAAATAAGTCTCATCTTTAAGTCTTACCTCTAGGGCGGACATATTTAAGTCTCACCTCTAAGTCTCACTACTAGGGAAAGCAAATAGTGTTTACAGTCTGCGAAGCAAAGTGGAGCCCTTTTTCACCCAGAGGCTGAAAAAGAAAATCTATCCCCCTTTTTTCTGGCTTTGAATTTATGAGAAGGCGGATATACATATACTGTTTTACCTTTAGAGCGAATATATTTAAATCTCATGCAACGCGCCTTTCTACCCTCTAAGACTCATCTCAGAAGTATACAGATCGAACATCTGGGCTTTATCCCAAAGCATATTCACATGCCAGATCTAATAATTACTCTTATTACAATAGCTACATAGGCCATTATCAATCCTTAAAGGTTTATCTATCTTTGTAGGTCTACCACAAGCAGAACACGGCTGGCATTTCTTAGCATTGAAGTGTGATCGACAACCTTCAGATCTAGTACTATGTTTGCCACAAATTTTACCAGTATTGAAAAGATAATAACAAATAAATTTTACTTTTGCTTTAACAACTTCGCCCATTTTATAGTTGCATAATTAATTTTAATTGAATAAATCTTTACACAATATAGTAATACATATACTAATTACATAATGAGTACACAAATTCAATTAACTGAAACAAAGCCTACATATCAGGAAATCGAACAGGCTTTAATTAATATACTCAAGGCAGGAGTAATATGCGGTAAACCTAGAGATAGTAAGTTCATGTAGAGCTATAAAAAACGGATCCTAAGTATCTG